TATCATCATAATCATGGGTGAAGTAAACAATAAGGCATCAAATCTACTCAATTCAAAATCCTATTTCCGAACAATCAAAACCCATGATAGGTGAAATCAAGTCTTGCTTACTTCCCTGGAATCTGAGCTTGATTTTGCTCAAGCAGCCTTTGGCTCCTACACCCACATATACTAAGCAGTAAGCACCCAAAATAATGAACTACAAGCTTACCTTCGCTTTGGGTATAACCTTAACAGCAACTTGTTGTCCTTTGAGTTCCCCTTTCTTGAACTTGGCTGAGCAGGTATAACCAAAATGGCCTCTCTGAACTTCCTCCCCGAGCTCGCACTTGCTCCCAAAATGCTTCGAGAATCCAAAGTTCTTGTCAAGTCTCGTGGCCGGAACACCCTCCGCTTCACTCCCCTCCGGTATTGCCGCTTCGTTCGGCTTCACCGACCCATGCCGCTTCGTCGCTTGGCCCAGATCTGCAAGAAGACAAGGAACGAGAAGGGATTAAAAATTAAAACTTTCACCAACTTACACTACCAACCAACAAGCAGAGAATGAAGAAGAAAAGAGACCGAAAGAAGGAGATGGAAGCAACGGCTTCGAAACTGGAACAGAGGAAATCGGCAGGTGGAGAAGATGAGAATTAAAGAAAAAACTGGTTTGGGTTATAAATGAGGAGGTATATATAGTGGTTTAGTAGTAAATTTATTAAGATATAAGGGTAAAATAGGTATAACATGTCAATTCCATTAATTGGAAGCTGGAAGCTCCCGCAAAAGCTTCAAATTCCTTACTTCTCAATTTTCAAAAGGTGGAAGCTAACTTTTGCTTCCCGGGAGCTAAAGCTCATTTCAAAAGTTAGGGTGTTTGGTGCAGCTGCACCTTTTGGACTTCAAAAGGTCTTCCGCCCAGCTGCACCAAACACCCACTAAGTCTGCTAGAAAACTCTCACAATTGAAATGTCAAGATTAGAAGTTTCTCTCTAGGCAAGGCTAGAAACTGTCAACAACAATAAATCGTCAAAAATAAATTCTTGAATCACCATCATAGTAATTAGCAAATCAATTCATTTCTGGAATGATCCCCAACAGCAGCCACTAACCAGTAACATTTTCCCCTGCTTTTCTTCATATTACGGATCCATGAAGACTGTTTTTCTCAACACCAAAGTGATGGACAGATATGCAACAGACTGATCCTGAATGGAGGAGGAAAGAAAGTAAAATGAGAGTTTTAATTAGTCCAATAAGTGCATCTATAGCTACGAACTTGAATTTAAGCTTTTAAATTTTGCCCAATAAAGGATTAATGATTTGAGCATAACGCTACCTGGAAGCAGTACTCCATCCATCCACCTTCATACATATCCTCGAATTGTCCTTGATATGGCTAGAGAAATTACCAGAAAAACTCCAAGAACATCCATGTCCTACAAAAGTGAACTAAAGCTTAGCATTTTCTTGATGAAATGATTGAAAATCTCTCTGACAACAACGGGGATGAGAAGGTGAAGCACGGTAGGGAAATTGAAGTGACTTAAAAAGAGGAAGGCACCACCTTCTTGCATTGCCAGAGAGGGCATTGTTTGGAGGGTAGAAGTTTGTTGCTGCAACCATGATGGATCCCAAGTACACTCCCATTTATTCATCGAGACATCTGACCTTGAAGCATACTCTGAAAATCAGTTCATTGTTAGGAAAAGTAGAATGAAAAAGGAATACAGTAGTTGTTTCATTGCCATAATGTAAGAATAGATGAACTCAAGTACACCGATTAAAAAATGTGAATGATAGAGATATTGGGAGTGAGATGAGTTCCAAAGATTTTCTATAGTCAGAAGCTCCACCTTATTGTACAGAGAAACATTTGACAATTGAGATTTAAGGATGAAATAAGAAAGAAGATAACTGAAACTTGTTCATTGTTGATTTCTGACCAATTATAAGCAAGAAGAATCTCGCTCCTCCATGGACATTAGGCCATCCCCCTTCATTTTGTTGCACTCTCCTGATATGGAAAGCGAAATTTACAAGAGAACACCAATAGGATACATTTCTTGCAATATGCAAATGCAAAGTAAAAGCTTAACTAGCCTTATTAAGATGAAGTAATAGTACATCATATCCTCATAGTTAAACGATTCTCTTGTTGTTTAGATGAACTTTATTATCCAAAAAAATTAAAGTAGAATAGAATGATGTGGTACCAACATTGAGCATAGTTGCATCTGGAAATATTCATGAAATTAAAGAAAGTAAAAACTCTACCTGAAGTAATTAAGACTGTAGGATTTGGATCAGTTTGTTCAAGATTTGAGTCAAGTAATTAAGAAATGGTTGCAGTGCTATCCTATGGGAATACCTGCACAGAATAGATAATATATATAAGATAAGAAAAGGCAATTGACCAAGCCTTCCTTGGCTTTATACACGTAGTAAATCAAAATTATTTTCAGTAGGAAAAGCATAACAGAAAACATGATACCCAGTTTCAGCTTCATAGCAGTAGATTTTATTACCTGACGGTTATCTATCGCAACGCAGGGGATGGTATGGGTGAGAGGCCAGTGGTCTCCTTCCACCTCAAAGCGCTGTCGTTTTAGCAGTGGACAGGTGGAGATGTCGAGTGCTCCAAGAGAGGGAGGCAAGCCTTCCTTTGGCAAGGATCGTAGCTTCGGCCAGCTCGATATTCCCAAGTATTGAAGAGAGTTTAGGTTTTGGAGGAGCTCTCTGGGTATTGATTCCAGATTTTCAACATCGCCGATCCAAAGAGTAGTTAAAGAAGAAGGCAGCACAATATCCGGCGGCCATGTCCGACAACTAATTTGCAAGTATTGAAGAGAGGTAAGGTTGTGGAGGCCGCATCCCGCCACCGTTGCCAAATGCCCATCTGGAACTGGATTGGATAGTTTTTGAGTCGTATTTGGTAGTAGGAACTTGAGAATTGCATCGTCTAACGTAAGCTCTGTTAAGTTTGGGGGTAAATCTAAAAGTAAACCCCCATTCTCATTCCCACCTGGAGACGGAATCAACTCTATGTTTGGACAACCATTTATATGTAGCTCCTGAAGCGATTTCAACTGGGACATCGTAGTATTTGGGAAGGACTTGAGATTCTTACAACTCCGTATTACCAATTTCTTGAGATTGGGGATGCATAAGCCCAGATTTGGGATGTACTCTAAAGCGAGACAACCGCCAATGTGTAATTCAATGAGATTGCTGAGGCAATCAAGGCTGGGTAAGCCTTTCAACCTTTGACAATTCATAATTCCAATGGATCTAAGTCCTGTACATTGATGCAGCATTCCCTTTGAAATAGATTCCAACCCCTCGCAATTATGAACTATAAATTGCTTGAGAGAAGCTGGCAGCTGACCCCTCTGAAAAGAATTTAGAGGTGGATGTTTCTCTATATATAAATATTCAAGATTGCTGTTGTTGTCACCATCATCTTGCATCAGTATTCCATCCGGTAGAGACTCAAGATTTTCACATCCTTCTATTGTCAACCACTTAACTGTGATGTGCAAGGATAATGACCTGAGAGAAGGACAACCATAAAGTTCTAACTCTTCAAGTCTCAACATGTCAGTGCTATTACTGTTGCTTCCGCCCATCTTCCTCATCATCAGATCAGGTAATAATGACTCCAATGCCTCACAACTAGAGAGGGCAAGCCGTTTAAGATTCAAAGGCAAGAGGCCTTGTTCTTTCCCTGTCAACGACACAAGCAAAGGACAACTACTAATTTCCATTTTGTCAAGGCAAGTAAGGTTTATTGTTTCTGATCCATCCTCCCACAAACAAGTAAGTTCTTTGCACCCTTCAATTTCAAGATTCTTAAGAGCTGTTAAGAACTGTGTACAACACTTAGGCAAGCAAGACATCTCTGAAATATTCTCAATGGTCAATTGAGTTAGAGAGGTGAGATCAACCATGCTCTTCAAAAGAATAACATTGCAGTCTCTAATATGAAGCTTTTTAAGTGACACAAGACTTGTGGTAGATGAGCATCTTAACTCTGGGCATCCATTTATCACAAGATTCACCAGAGAAGAAAGCTGGCTGGGTAATTGTCCTGTCAACTTGGGACAATCTCCAATCTCAAGACAGCCAAGACAAGGGAATTCACCTCCACTTCCTGTTGGAGAAGTCCACTCCTTCCAATTTAACATGTTTTGGAAAACCAGCTTCTCTAGTGATGAAAAAGTTCCATTCCCATAAAACTCTGGACCCACTGCTTCTATTCCCTCAATGCCTTCAATAATCAATTCTTTGAGAACAGGTGATAACCCAAGTGACGGTAACAAAGTGCATCTCTTACAATCTTTGAGCTTCAAATATGATAAATTTGCAAAAATTGGATCACCAATCCATGAAGTGAATTTTTGGCCACCATAGGAAACAATTGTGAGACTTTTCAATTTTGAATGGGGTTTTAACAAGTTGAGGACCTGGACCTGCATTTCTTCATTGGTTTTATTCCTCGTATTACCAGAATCAGAAGTCCACTCCAAATGTAACTCATCAAGACCATCAATATTCTTTAGATCAGCCTCTATAGCATCTTGAACATTCAAAACATTCTCTAGATTCATAATAGACAGTTTTCCTTTAAGTTGTAAGAAGTTTTTCAAGTTAGATAATTTCATCAATCTATTTTCCTTCCCCACAATCAACTTTGACAATGTTAAGAGATTCTTGAGATTACCTATTTCTGATGGCATCTCTTTCAAGGAACTCGTACCTTCAATATCCAGATGATGGAGGTAAACTAAGTTCCCAATTGTCACAGGTAACTTCAAAAACTTGTGGCAGTTAAAGAGCAACAGTGTCTGTAATTGAAGGAGGAAACCCACGGACTCAGGTAGGCTTGCAATTGGAGTTTCTGACAAATTAAGGTACTTCAAATGCACTAAATATCCAATTGAATCTGGCAACTTATATATGTGATAACACTCAACAGAAAATGCCCTCAAGCATCTTAATTTTGGCAGCCAATCATGCACCACTACATTTGATATACCACACCACCTCCTTGAGCCAACTGGAATGAATGTTCGCAAACACTTCATGACATTCAAGACTTCAAATTTCTTAGAGGTCTCACAACAACCACGGATGCAAGACAAATGACGAATCTTTTCATAATTCACTTTTGATTTTGTATCAACCTCAAACTCATGCTCAAGACTGAAGCACGATTCTCCAGCAACAAATTGAGCCAAATCATGTATGAGATCATGCATCAAAAACCGTGACTCATTCCCACTAGATCGCTGCAAAAAAGCTCTTGAAACTAACTCATCAAAATATTGATGACCAACTTCTACTGACTGTTGCTGTAAAACCCCACTTGCCACCCACAACAAAACAAGCTGGTTCTTCTCAAACTCATGGTCTTTAGGAAACAATGCACAATAGACAAAACATGGCTTCAAACAAGAAGGAAGATAATGATAACTCAATCTTAAAGCTGGAAGAATATTACTTGTAGTTTCTTTCAGCTCCCATATTTGACTTTTTAAAATGCATTCCCATGCAGGACGGCTTAACTTACCACATAGAAGGCCCCCAAGGGTTTTTGCAGCTAACGGCAATCCTTTGCACCTTTTAGCAATTTTTTCCCCAATTTCTTTTAAATTTGGGTGTGCATCAAAATTGTCTGTTCCCAATGCATGTTGAGCAAACACTGACAAGCACTCTTCATCCTTCAACACTTCTAGACTGCAAACTCTATCCACTCCTCCCATCATTTCTACAACACACTGGTTGCGAGTTGTGATGATTATTTTGCTTCCAGCTGCTCCGGATAAGAATGGTTTTCGTAGACTATCCCACAGAGAGTAGTTCTCATTCCAAATGTCATCCAGTACAAGCAAAAACTTCTTGTTAGATAACTTGCTGTTCAATTCTTGTTGAAGCAGATCTAAATTATTTGAAATACAATTTCCCCCAACTGCTTCTAGAATGGCTTTTGTTATGCTTGTAATATCAAACTGATCAGAGACACAGACCCAGGATTTAATCTCAAAGTTTTCTGGCGTCGTCACCTCGTTGTAAACAAGTCGAGCTAAAGTGGTCTTGCCAATGCCTCCCATTCCAAGG